CGTTTATTGTATGTTCTTACCTAACGTTCTAAATGAGGTATTGGGGTGGTCCTCATTTAAAATGTTATGTTAGAATGTTCACACCTTGCACCATAAGTGTCAAAACTGCAAACCGCAAAGGAAACAATTAATGAGTGCTTCCCTGGGTGGCCTCCATTCCTACAAGCGAACACCACCAGGGGGAGGATTCGTGGATTGTTTCCCAGCTCGTTCATCTCCCGAACGAGGACCTCCCCGGTGCCCCATTGGAACATTCACAGCAATTAATCAGAACGTTCTAACTCACAACATACGTGTGAAACCGCAAGGGAAGTAATTTATGAGTGCTCCCCTGGGTGGCCGCCATTTCGTATAGACGAATCCTGTCCAAGGGGAGCATTCGTATCCTGAAAGGAGATGCTTCCCCTGCAAGGTTTCACCCAGGGATCTCACGAGCGGAGCCTGGTCGAGGAAGATACCGCTGTGAGGGTCCCTGGGTAACCAACAAGATGGTGCGCTCTCATTATTTAACCAACAAGATGGTGCGCTCTCATTATTTAACCAACAAGATGGTGCGCTCTCATTATTTAACCAACGAGATGGAGCGCGCTCATTATTTAACCAACAAGATGGTGCGCTCTCATTATTTAACCAACGAGATGGAGCGCGCTCATTATTTAACCAACAAGATGGAGTGCGCTCATTATTTAACAAACAAGAAGTAGCGCACTCAGAGGACAATAAACAACAGAGCTGCTTTATTGTAATCAGATGTGTAGCATCTCACAGCCAATGTTTCAGCCCAACAACCCAGCCATCCTGGGAAAAGTCCAGTACTGAAGTGAAACATTGAATGCTGCTCCTGGCTGAGTTTAATAAATGTTTTATTGTTTAGTCCTCAATCTATGATTACACTCTGTGTTGGATACAGTTTGACACCCGGCAATGAAGGACTGTAAGATTAATTAATAAACTGAGAATTTCTGGGATTGAAAATCTAAATTGCAGAACTAAGGCTCAAATAGTCAAGCTTTAAAATTTGCTGTTTTAGTCTAAAATATGCAGTTCAGATTTTAACTTAAATTAAATTAAAAATTCTAAATTTTAAAATAAAAATTCTGTGAAAACCCTTTGTCGAACGTGAAACGCTTGTTACATTTTATATATGTGTTAGTAATTTGCCAGTGCAATATATATATACATTTCTATTAATATAATTTAAGTGTATCATATTGATGTTTGTATATATTATAAACTTAATAATTTATACAATTATGTTTGATATATACACATATAAGGTAATATAATAATAAACACACATTAATGCACATTTGTATATAATACTTTCACAAATCACATAGCTAAAGCAAAACTATATTTATTTATCTTTTCATTTGATATGTCATTTGAAAGAAAAACAAATATAGACACAAACACATATATTTTTGATTAATGGATGCCCAGTGGCACACACGCTGGCGTGCAATCATTGATGCCCACACATACTAACACACACATACACTATCTGCTATTGTATCCCATACAAACACAATCACAAATGTACAAATACTCACTGACATACATACATACATACATACATACACAATGTGACATACAAACACACTGACCTGCACACTCTCATTAACATGCACTAGCACACATTGAGTCATACTGACATACACACAGTGACCGATACAAACACTGGAACACACACATACACTCCTTAACAAACACTAGCACACATTGATGCATACTGACACATACAAACACATTGATCTATAGTGACACGCACAAACACAGGGATCCATACTGACACGCACAGAAATAAATAGTGACACACACGCATATTAATCAACACTGACACACACACATTGATCCATACTGGCACAGAGGCACATTAATAAATACAGACATACACTAATTGATCCATATGGACACACATACATTAATAAATACTGACACACACAGTGAGCAATACAAACACCGATGTACTGTCCCATACATGCACACACATATTAGTCATGTTCTTTGCTCCCTTACCAGACGCCGTCTAGTTGCAGTAGTACTGCACATGATAGCACATGATCCCAGTGGCCTTCAGCTCTGTGACGTCTGCGAGGAGTGACTGGCTTCCACCACTCCTCGCACCTCCCACTGTTTTTACAAAAGGGTCCCTGGCGCCAGCCAGTGCAAAGAATTTTTTTTTTTTACATGCTTTTCGGTGACTGAACACACAAGCCAATGGACAGCATTAGACTTACACCGCATGTATGCCAGTTTACTAATTCCAAATCATTCTTAGCATAGTGCGAGGTCCTTCTTCTTGATGTTGCCGCAAGATATTTCCCAGTATCCAGGTGGGCCAGTCTGGTGCTGGTGACATCAGAGGCATAATTATTCCTTTGCTATGACATCAGAAGCAGAATTCCTCCTTGCAGTGACATCAAAGGCAGAATTCTTCCTATGCAGTGACATCAGAGGCGGACACCACATTTGCAGTAACATCAGAGGCAGAATTCCTCCTTGCAGTAACATCAGAGGCAGAATTCCATCTTTGCAGTGACATGAGAGGCAGAATTCATCCTGCTGTATAGGCTCCACGGCCAAATCTACCAAGTTCATTGCAAGCATTAGCAAGACAGGGGAGCACACTAACATTTAACCACATTACACACACACACACTGCACCCACATGGGACACAGGGTGACTTAAACATAGGAATCGGCCAGATACCTAATGGAATTCTCCATCTTAAGCTCTTGGTGATGGGGACTACCATCACACTCCCTTGCAGCCAAGTTTCCATCCAACCTTTGTGTGCAGTATGTGTATGCCGCACACATAACGTGAAATGTCACTCGTCCCTTTTCGAGCTCTGGGGAGAGTCCAACCCACAGCTGGTCTATGTAAAATGATAGAAGCTGAGGGATGGTCACTTATCGAACAGTTCCACTTATCCTGTGTGATTAATAATAATAATACAGCTAGGGAATAAGCTAGTTATCGAATAAACCTCTTCCATACAAGACCAGATACCTGTGTGTTTTGTCCACATTGAAAATCTTATTGTCTAAATATTTTTAGGCCAGATATTGATTAAATGAGGCTGGATTTTGGGTTCTGCAGCCCATTATAGACAGAATGCAGCCAGTGATTGCCTAGAATAGCCAGCCTATATATGCTTGATCTACCAGCAGAAGGATTTGTAACATGATTGGCACGGTAAGCTGTGACAGTCTAACTCTGTGTTCCTGTCCTTAGACAAACCTTATCACTAATTCATATTGCGTTGTGTCTCTGTGTCAGGGGTGGCCAGGGGATTGCCAGAAACAAAATCCTTTGACTTTAAGCTTTTATATAGTCAGAACATTGACAATAACAGTCACATTTCAGATATCTTCCCTGCCCATGGCATCTCACACCTCACCCCTTTTCCCATTCCTTATATTGGAATGCTATATCCTCTGGATGAAGTCTAAAATTGAGATGCTGACTAATAAAGCAACAACTGTACCAAACATTAGATACCTTTTATATTTAAAATTCCAAAACCTCTCTGTTCACAGTTATCCTGGCTCCATTTGTGACCGCCATTTGCCCTGTGCTCACCCATTCCATCAGTGACCTTCACCTGCTCTCTGCTCGACTCAATACATCAGTAACCTTCACCTGCCCTCTCCTCGCCGCATTCTATCAGTGACCATCACCTGCCCTGTTTGCCCCATTCCATCAGTGACCATCACCTGCCCTCTTCGCCCCATTCCATCAGTGACCATCACCAGCCCTCTGCTTGCCCCATTCCATAGGTGAGCCTCACCGGCCCTCTGCTCGCCCCATTCCATCAGTGACTATCACCTGCCCTCTGCTCCCCCCCATTCCATCAGTGACCGTCACCTGCCCTCTGCTCGCCCCATTCCATCAGTGACCGTCACCTGCCCTCTGCTCGCCCCATTCCATCAGTGACAGTCACCGGCCCTCTACCCGCCCCATTCCGTTAGTGACCATCACCTGCCCTCTGCTCATCCCATTATATCAGTGACCACCACCTGCCCTCTACTTGCCCCATTCCATCAGTGACTTTCACCTACCCTCTGCTTGCCCCATTACGTCAGTGACAGCCATCTGCCCTCTGCTCGCCCCATTACATCAGTGACCGTCACCTGCCCTCTGCGTGCCACTTTCCATCAGTGACTTTCACGTTCCCTCTGCTTGCCTCATTCCATCAGTGACAGTCACCTGCCCCATTGCTCGTCCCATTCCATCAATAACCTTCACCTGCCCTCTGCTCGTCCCATTCCATCAATAACCTTCACCTGCCCTCTGCTCGTCCCATTCCATCAATAACCTTTACCTGCCCTCTGCTCGACCTATTCCATCAATGACCGTCACATACCCTCTTATTGCCCCATGCCATCAGAGACCATAATCTGCCCTTTGCTCTTCTCATCCCATCAGTGACTGTCACCTAACCTCTGCTCGCCCT